GCTGGGATAGCATGTGAGCCGCCACCACCACGCTCATCATTCAATTTTTAATTATTTTTCATATGTGTGTTTTGCCTCCATGTATGCAAGCATACCATGTGTGTACCATGCATGGAAAGGCCACAAGATGGAGCAGATCTATATCCCCTGGAACTTGAGTTACAATGTTAACCACTATATGGGTAGTGGGAACTGCGAGAGCAGCTAGTGCACCTAACCACTGAGCCATCTCTCTGGTCCCCTCATCCTTGATTTTTAAAAATTAACTCCGGTGATGATTTTTTTTTTTGAGACAAGATCTCCCTACAGCCCCAGCTGGCCTGAAACTCACTATATAGACCAGGCTGGCCTTGATCTCACAAAGATCCTCCTTCCTCTGCCTCCCAAGTGCTGGGATTAAAGGCATGAGCCATCATAACTGGCTTTGGAAATGCTTTATGAAGTCTTCTCTTTTCATGTTAAAATTTCATATTAATGTCTAGAAATCTGAGGAACAGTTTTAACAAGTGCTGTGGGACAGAAACACCTGAGGAACAAAGCAATTAAGTTCAGATCCTTACAGTGTGCTTCCCACTTATTCAGACTGGACACAAACTGCTTGCTGGTGTCTTTCTGGTATCCTTAGATATAATTCCTGAGAACTGAGCAGCTAACACCCAAATCTCACCTTCATTGAGATCCAGAACAGAGTGCCTGACACACAGTAGGTCCTGATGCACTTTTGTTAAATGTATGTATCGAAAAACTGACTATATGCTCTTCCTAAACATGCTTTATTTCCTTTACCTCAGACATGCTAGTTCCTGTTTAAAGATAAAGAAACCATCCTCTTCTCCAAGTGCCATGCAAACTTTCTTACTGGTGAGAAGCCGCAGCTCAGATGCTTCAGCTGGAGCTGCAATACCTCATTCCCAACAAGAGCTGCCAACGAGGACTGTGTGTCCTTTCTTTTAATCATGTGTCTGTCAGCCTGCCGGCCATCTGGTCAGGTAAATCCTGGCATAGGTTTGATTTCACGTAGCACACAGTGCCCTTTCTACAGAGGAACACTGGCACCAGACTGCCTGAATACAGCTAGCACATTGCTACTACAATTAATCTGGCAGAATAAAGCAAGTTCACAAAGCAATATATGCTGAGATTTTCCAATGCAACTGTTTAGCAAAACACAGAATGTGCATTTGGTACAGAGGGGCAAGGAGTCTTCCCTTGATCTTTAATTTATTTGCCTCTTAAAATCCACAGCATATTAGGCTTTTCAGAATGTAAGGCACACATGCTAAAGAGCTCGTATAGAGGCTGGGAAGATAGAAGAGGCAAAATGGAACAAAATATAAGCACTGGCACCCCCCCCCCTTAAGGAACCATAGAATCCAACAAGTGTTTGTTAAATGAGCCACTACCATATGCTCAACACCGTAAGGCATGTGGAGATGACAAAACACACTCTTGATCTGCTTTAAATCCAGTAAAGGAGTCCGGGGGTGGGTGCATCCCAAGTGGCACAGCATGGGGCCTGGCACCAGGCTAAACATGGGGTGTCAGGCATTTGGAGGAGAGAGCAATCCCGAGGTAAGGGAAGGCTTCCAGAGGAGGGTGTGCTGACTGGGCACAGAAATCAGGGTGCATCAGCAAGTGCATGAGAAGTGGCTAGGGGAAGAGCAGTGAGCACCAGCACCAACATGGGAGAACCTAAAATAGCAGTTTCCAAGGTGAAGGCTCTGCCATCACCAGCAGTAGCGGTACCTGGGAGCTTATTAGAAATGGAAACTCCGGAACTCAAGAGCTGGCTCAGTGGTTAAGAGCACTGGCTGCTCTTGCAGAAGACCTAAGTGGTTCGATTCCCAGCACCCACATGGTGGGTAACAACCCTCTGCAACTCCAGTTCCAGGAGCTCCAACACCTTCTTCTGACCTCCACAGGCATTGTACAACACAGCTACACTTAAGCATATGAAGGCAATAAACTCATGCACATAAAATAAAAATAATAAATAAAATATATATTTTTTAAAAAGTAACACAAACTCTAGGGCTGAGGATTCAGTTAGTAGAGAACTTGCCTAGCAGTCACAAAGTCCGGGGCTTGTTTCCCAGCACCACACAATTCAGGCATGGTGGCACATGTCTGTGAGCCTGTGACCCCAGCACTAGGAAGGTGTAGGAAGGAGGATTAGAAGTCCAAGGTCCTTCTCAAAGTGAAAGCAAGTTTAAGGATCGTCTAGCCTACATGACACCCTTTCTCAAAATAAATAAATAAAAACAAATTCCCAGATCTAGCTCATATTTACTGACTCCTACTGAGTCAGAAACTTTGGGGATGGAGCCCACCAATCTGCTTTGGATAGATATCCACATGATTCTGGGACCTGCTTAAGTCTGAGAGCCACTGAGTAAGAGCAGGAAAAGCCCTCCCTTCCTGGTCTGAGCAGGAACATGGGGCTTTTCCTCCATCCCCTCACTATCTGCAAAGCAGTGCTCACAGGGTGAGCAAGGTCAAGGGGCTGCCACCTTCTCCCAGGCTGCTCAGATGACACAGTGTTAAGAATTTATGCTTCCCATTGACTTCTGTGCACAGCCCTCCAGTGCATCTGCCTTGGAGGCCTGTCTTCCTAACTCACAAGTGGATATGAGACCTGATGCTGAGAAGAACTACAGAGAGGCAGAGGGTGAACTGACCTCTAGGGGGCCTGGGAGCTCAGCATAGATGGCATGCTTCCCCCCAGCTTGCAAAGCTGCACCTATCTTGTAACCACAGGGTTAGGGGTAACTCTTGAAACAAGGAGGTGGTGGGAATTCTACTTCTCTTTTGATTAGATCATCATGAAAAGCAGCAGGATCAACTTTGGAGTGCTATTGAGTGCTATTTATTGAAATATGTGTAGCCCCTGAAGACAAACAGGATTTGGCAGCATGTGGCCTTGGCTGTCCTTTTGCTAGCTATGAAGTGAAGGGTGACCTTTCCTGCCCCACATCTTCTCTCTGTTTTGATAGCTCAGAATCTCTTTAGAAGCACTTAAGTTTACATAACCTTTTTCTTCTGATATGCTAGCTCTTGGGCTGAGCGCACCAATGATGTGGTTGTTGCTCAAGTTCTTGGAGCTGTTAAGTGGCCTCACTGAACACGAAGAGCCCTTTATTATCTGTCAAAAGAACAGGGTATGATACATAGGGACCTGACCAGCACAGCAGGGGCCATGGTCACATTCATGTCCCCAAGGGCTATTTCACAGAAGCAGTGGCTGGATGCGACCTTGGTAAAAGACCCAGAGAATGATAAGTGAACTAGCTGCTACTCACATGGGCTCATCCACGGCTCTGTGCTTGGCTGGGCAGACAGGCTCCTACACACAGGCATGTGAATAGCCAACACTGTTGGTTGTTTCCTGTCTCTCAATCATCTACACCATTTAGTGTCTCCATATTTGGTCAGTGTGTGTGTGTGTGTGTGTGTGTGTGTGTGTGTGTGTGTGTGTGTGTGTTGGGTTGTTTGTTAGTTGCTTGCATGAGCCAGGGCAGGGGTTATTTGGTGTGTGTGTGTGTGTGTGTGTGTGTGTGTGTGTGTGTGTGTGTGTGTGTGTGTGTGTTGGGTTGTTTGTTGTTCTTATTGTTATTATAAGCAAATGGGCTATGTTACCACATAGCTGAATACCGAGGACATTGTGCAAATTGAAAAAAGCCAGGCATAAAAAGACACATAGACTTAGATTCTACTTACATGAGGTACCTAGGGGTCAAAATCATAGAGACAGGAAGCAGAATGGTGGTTGCCAGGTCTGTAAGGAGGCAGCAATGGTGAGTTGCTGTTGAATGGCTAGAGGTACAGGTTTACAAGATGAAAAGAGCTCTGGAAATGGTTTACAATGATGTCAATGTACTTAATGCCATTGAATGGAGCACTTAAAATGGTTAAGATGATAAATTGTATGTTATGTGTACAATACCACATTTTGAATTTTTACAAAATCCAAATGAATACTTGTCTTACTGTGATTTACATAGCACAATAGGTGACAATATAATGCTGTTGATTTATAGTGTGTGCTCCATATTTGGGGATTATGTAGGTGAATTCCATTATCATTCTCAATTTAAAGATGGTGAACGTTAGGTCAAAGAGACAACAACTTGCCAAGGCTCACACCTCTCCTATGAGGTGGGCTGAGATGCAAGCCTAGAGGACTGCCTGATTTTAACACAAGAGCTCAGAAGCCTCACACAACTCCCACTATGCAAACTTAGCCTAAAGGAACAAAATCTCAGTGTGTTGACAGGGACAGATGAAGACCTCAAGGCCACTGACTTGCTCTGGCAAATTATAGCGACATGTATTTATGCATGCATACAATGGTAGAAAGTTCTAGCTAAGAACATATGGCAAGAATTCAATTGTTTCTTGCTCTGTAGTAGGTATCTTGGTTCTGGAATGTATACTACCAACTCTGACTTCACATTACTAATACATGTGCCAGCCACTGTAGAAACTGTCATGTTGCTAGGACTATTTTTGAGGGTCTTAGAGCTCAGAGATATGTATCCCAGGAATATCTCTGTCCTGCTAGCTCCTGGGTTCCACAACAAGCTCTGTAATGAATAAGAGAGGGAGCCTAGGGTGTAGCATGAGGACCCACAAAATAGCTAGATGGTAAAAAGACATAGCTATAAGCGAGCTGTGCAAATCCAAGGCCAGCATCTGGGGGATGAAGGAGAGTATAACATCTGTATCTCCAATCTGCAAGACAGTTGACCTTGCTCTTAACAAAGCCCAGGAAAATGCTCTGCACATGAGCAGGGTTCACAAGATGCATGCCCAATTTTTATCTACTAATCCCTAAACCCACACTGTGCTCCCCAACATCTTGCACCCCTTCTGCCCTGGACAGAAGTGGGTAGCTGGCATCTTTTTAGAGGTCAGAAAAGGGAGGTCTGGCTCCCACTTCTCCCCACTCTCTCCCTGTGTTCATCCCATGTCTGCCAGCCTTGGTGAGAGCTCAGCAGTACCTGGTGTGTGTCAGTGGGCCCACTGGTCGCTCTGGTCTTCTTGGGGGTAGTGCGCCAGGTCTGTTGAGAGAATTGGTCTTGGGTGGCCGAGGCTTTTTTGGTGGGATGGCAGGAACAGAGGGCTTCTGTAAATCCAGTTTTGGCTCTCTCTCTGGTCTTTCTTTAAGTCATTGTTTAAGGAAGCAAACATGAAGAAAACAGATAGATCTCATGTAAGGGAGAGCATGTAGATGCAAACTGCTTATTCCCCTCTATGAAAATAAAACTCATGGATGTCATTTCTGAAGGGGATGCTGGTAGCAACAGAACACCATGTATTTCTTGTCAAGCTAGAAACAGCCACAGTTCCCTGTTCCCTTCTTTCTGTTCGTTTGCTAGTGCTGGTTCTTCTGCCCTTTTGGCCACTGACCCTCTAGGCAAACTCCTACTTCAAAGCCTTGCTGAAATGTGCCAGTGTCATGTTCCCTCCTGACAGCTGGAACCATCCTCACAGTTGGTTTTTCACCTTCCTTAGCCGAGCATTAGAGGAAGCTTTTTATAAACAGGCTCCACGTGGACACTTTCTGGGTGTGTGTTCAGCACCTGGCTGTCAGTCTCTAAGGGCAGGGCCCATGTCTGTGCATCTCCCTAAAAGCCTGTGTAGTGCTGGTATATAGTTGATGCTTAATTGATGGTTGATGGGTTTAATAAATGGCTCAAAGGATCTATCTGCCTGCTGGGTCTAAGGAAGGAACAGGCCTGACACCTCTCAGGCTAGCCTCTGAAAGGGGCATTAGTCAAGAAAATGGGAGCTACGCAGGGAAAAACTTGAACTTGTTCAGGAGTCTCTGCACAGTTTGAACTTGGAAGACAAAGTGGGGCTTCTCAGATTTTGGATCCCAAGGTTTTTAGAGTCAGAGCTATTAGGATAAAGTTGACAATAAAGTAGTTAAATTGGGCACTGTTCAGCAACTTCCATTTTCTGTTCCCAACAAGCTCTGCCTTGTGCATGGTGTAAAAAGCATGCAAGCATGCATCCACAACCTACTAAAATACTGAACTTCAGAGACAGTGGCCCATTGGAGCACATATGGGATCTCTGTACTTCCTTGTACAGTGCCCCTCAGAACGCCTTTTATTGGCAAGTACAGATGTGTAGTTTGGGGACTGAGACCCATTGGCAACTACTTTGGGCATCCCCTCAGGTATTATGCAGGTATAACCATGTTTCTACAGGAAAATATGCTCCAACAAGGAATGCTGGGAACTCACTTTCTGGCACATTAGAGCCAGAGAAGGAGAGGCTCTGCTGAAATGCTGTGCAACAGGACCAGGGTGAGAGCAGGAATGCCAGCAGCTTGCAGGATGAAATGAGGCAGGATCTGGTGACCTTGCAGGGATGCCAAGCCTCAGAGCAGGGTCAGTTTCCTGACAGTCCTATTGCTTCTGATCAGGGTCTCTGCCTCCCTGACTCACTCTGGCATATGACAAGGACTCGGGTGAGGGGAAGAGTGAGGGATGTGTGGCTATTTGGCCAGCCGAGAAGAGTGGCTGCCCACATATCAGCCTACAAGTTAGTCAGCATGGACCAGGGGGAGGAAGTGTCCTCATCACAGAGCCTGGCTAGGATGCAGACACTAGTCATATGTCGTCTATAAAGACTAAATGCTATCCCCATCCTAATTTCACAACACTTTTAGCAAAGAGCTGTTGGTAAGGCATACAACTGAATGACATTTTTTCCCATTCATCGTTGATACAGACTTGGCCCTCACAATGAAGTTCTATGACTCAAATTTTACCTGCTCACTGCAAAAGAAAGAAGTATAGATGCTTAATTGGTTGCAATGTTGGCAAAACTTTCAGTAGGCTGATGGGAAATATTAAATTCTACAGCAAAATTTCATGAGGCCACCAAGGAGCACCTCAAATAATTATATCCATCAATTCAGCATTTCTCTTATGACTTTGAAATAACTGCTTTTTAAAATGGAATTTGCTTGGTTTCCTGTTCTTAATAATAACCTAGCACTTTTTTTTCCATAAAAACATGTGATCGATCACATCTTGGGTACCTAGTAAAATGTGTCTTTCCACAGCATGCAGATTTCATCAGGACAGATACTCAGAGAAGTGGGAAGTAAACACATTTATAAATCTGACTGTGTGAGATGTTTTAAGCCATATCCCTGCCAATGGCATTTTTGACCACTCTCTGGAGCCTCTGAGACTGAGCTATCTTTCCCAGTATGACCATGACACCTTCCTCCCCTCCAATATTCTTGACCAAGGACATGTGTCTGCAATGCTATTAGCCAGAGTCGAGGGTCCTGCAGTGACCAAGGAAGAAGGCTTTCATTGGTCTGGATGGGAACTTCAACAAGCCAAGAATACCCATCAATAGTGCATGAGCTTCTAAGGCATTGGGCACAGGGGAGGGGCTGGATGGAAAGCGTCAGATATATTCAAGGTCCTCAGTGAGCTTAAAGTCCACAAAGATGTTGGGAAGCAATGAAAACAAACCTATAATCACCATATTCCAAAGCAAATTCTGTGGGCGATTGGGTCTGTGCTGTGACAGATAGTTCTTAATAATAACCTAGCACTTTTTAAACCTTGCTGTTCTAGAAGAATTTATTTCATACCTCTCTCTTCTGTTCTGTTTGGAAGTGTTTCTGGTCTTTCAGGAGGCATCTTTTTCATTTCATGTTTTCTCTCTGTGGTACCTAAAAAGGAAACGCTAATAGTGATCAGAAAATGTTCTCTGTATTCATTTGGTTGATGCATCAGCATTTAAACATTCGGCAGGCACAGCAAAGGCAACTGATTATTTTTTTCCTGAGCTGTATGCTTGTGTTATCTGGATGATAAGAGTTGCTCAGAAACAGAGCAGAAGTCATTTCTAGCCTACATCATGAAATCAGTTTGCACAGCAGGTTTAATGCTGTGTATCTATAATTCCAGCACTTGGGAGACAGAAGCAGGAGGATCACCACAAGTTCTAGGCCAGCCAGGGCTGTATAGTAAATCTGACTGAAAAAACCCCACTAAGGTTTGCTTGTCTATACACATTTAATTAATAAAAATGACATTAATCTTCACCTGGTTTTCTTGGGCCTAAAAGGTCACAGGGTATCATGAAATAGGCATGTGAAATGTGTTGAAATAATTTACTCATCATAATGTACAAATAAGGGGTCACAGGATAGTATGTTTTACAAATAAAAGAGGTTTCACAAGGACCTGGGCTTCTTCTTACAGTAGAATAAAAATAGGATGTAGAATTTTTGGATAGACCTCAGATTATGAGGTGAAGTCTGTATACCGTTGGCAGGGATGGAGCCAGCAAACCTTTCAAATGCTTTCACCAGGGACTGAAGTAATACCATGCCATTTCCAAGGCTAAGTCATACAAAGCCACATAGCTTACACTTTGTTGGCACACTGGACCCCACTCTAAGAGGTCAACTACCCTGGAGAAGCCATGCATAGACACTGAGGCCTGCAACCCCAGTGAAGCCTAGTATCCCAGGTCCTCGAGCCACAGAGAGTGAGACATGTGTTTGAAGCAGCTGTCTTTGAGGTAGATGCTCCAGCCTCAGCTAGTTCAGCTGCCACCACCCCAGACCTGATGGAATAGAAACTAACCATTCTGGTCATGCTCTGCTCACATGCTTGACCCACAGAATCTGTGAATCTATGAAGATTGCTATTTTGTGCCACTAAATTTGGAGTGGTGGTTTGTAATGCAGCAAACAGTATCTGGAACATAATTTTAAGTTGAGGAATATGCAGATATGTTACAGCGGTTTCCCCTACAGCCTTTCACTCTGCGTCTGAATTCCCCAAGTATTACATATTTCCAATACGTCGCCTTATATTTCATCTTTAATCACACAGCCTGCCATGGCTCCATCACCTCAGGTCCTCATCAGTGCCACTGCCTCAGGCATATAAGAGCACTCAGAAACAGCTAAAGCACAAATCAATCAAAAGTATTTTTTTACTTATAGACTTGGATGAGTGTTTTGATTCTCTTCACATGGCCAGCCCCATAGATGTGTGTTAGGTATTAAAATATGAATTAGGAGATCTCAGAGGTCCAAAGAATTTTTAAAATTCTACTGGACTCATAATTCATCTGACTCCTTTTAATGATTCACTACAAATTAAACACTGTATCTGATTTATATCTACTACATAGCTGGAAAATTGATGAGAAGGGAAAAAAGAATATTTCCTCATTACAAAGAAAGTCCTAAGATTCTTCAGGATAAATGAACAATAGCAATAGTCTAAGAAAGAAGAAATGTTATCTTGCTTTGCCCAGCAGAAATTCATCACAAATGCTCATAAAATTATTTTGAAAAGAATCTGTCTACCATGCTACTATGTAGTCTCATTTCCAAAGACAGAGAAGAATAGACAATTCTACTATTTTCAAGAATGCTATCCTAGAGATTTTATTCTAGGATGCCTGGACTTTGAACTGCTTGGTTCACTGCCTTGGGCTCTCACTGGTTACCAAGGCCCTCTAGGGGAAAGGGTCTTCGGAGAAAAGCACATAAATAGCTTGCTTTAATCTTGGCACAATAAAATATTTTTATAGCCAGAACCACTAGGTGGCAAAATAAAACTGCTCAATGGGGGTAGAGTAGGAGATATAATTAACACCCAAATTCAGGGCTTAAGCTCTGTAATTCTCAATTATCCTCAAATAAATGGGAGAAAAAATTGGGGGTTCAAATGATTTTTCCTCCAAACTGGTGGTCCCCCAAAATCTTAGAAAAATGACTTCTTAAAGTCAGACTGGAATGCACCATGAGTTTCAGGCCAGCTAGGAAGGCCTAGATTGAGATCATATCTCATAAACAAACAAACAAACAAAATCACTTCTTAATCTATTTATGAAAAATCCAAATAGGAAATGTACATTTATTCATACTTTAAGTGTTATAGATATGTCACAACTGTGGATATATAGAGTTAAACACACCCTTAATTTTGTTTTAGCTATTTCTTCTTCAGTATACATATTAGAACATATATTCAACTGTACAAAATAATGGGTTCCACTGTGACATTTTCATACATGTGTATCATGTATTTTGATCAATTCATATCCTCTATTCTCCCTTCTTATCCCCTCCCCCATTTAGTTGTTGCTTTTTTAAAAAGCCATTTAAATAGTCTTCCATAAAGGAATTTCTCTCCATAATTAACTGTGACTGTTATAAAGATGAGTTCTATTGGGAAATATGAATCATCATCTTTATGTATGAGATCCACTGTGCAACGAGTTACTGAATGTCTAATGACATCAATTCTTCCAATACTATTCAACTTTTATATCTAAACTACACAGACAGAGTGAGCTGGAATATTTTCAAGATTAGAGAAGAATCAGGAGGAAAAGTATTTCTGGCTAGAAAAACATCTTTTTTGTTGGGGGAAGTGAAGTAAGTGCACATTTTGGTTAACCGCATGGGACAGGCATTGAAAAGCTAGCAATGCTGCACATGTACAATGACGCTACCCCATGGGAAACAATCTTCCCTAAGCTGACCCTCAGGAAGATTGACAATGTCAGGTTCTTTGCACCTCAAAAGCAGTTTGGTAAAAAACAAAACCAAACTGATTCATTTTAAAGTACTTTCTACTATCCTCTTCAGGAACCCAATTTCTGCATGGCAACAGAGACATTTTAATGATATGAACTCTTTTGTTTCTAGGAAAAACAGCAGTATATTTAAAACCTGCCTGCTGAGACCAAATCATAACTCCAAATTTTGCAATCTGTGGTATTTGAATCCAGGAATATTGAGCTTTAACAGAGAAAATTTGAATATATGCATAAGAACGATAAACACTTAGATGAAACTGAGATGTACATTACCTGCCCCTTGTTTGATGACAGGAGCGGATGGAGGTGGTGGTTTCTTGGGTCTCTGAAAAATTAATCAGAATTGTACAACATGAGACTGCTGGCAAGCTGTCCTATCACAGAAGGACCACAAACATTGTTTTCTATATGCAGTGTGGGCAATTCAGAGAGCCTCTCAAAAGAAAAAATTGAGCAATTCTCTCTCCAGGGACATCAGCTTTCTCTTGGCACCTCTAAAAAAACACTAAAATAAATTCAATCAAAACAAAACAGATAGACAAATGAAACACCATTTTCCTCTTTCTAAATTTATAACAGCCTTCTGAAAAAGCTTAGCTCAGCAAAAAATCATCTAAAACCAGCAAGCACAATGGTACTCCTACACTGAAACCACATTTGCAATTAAGATTTAATCTGCTGAATAACCAAGCCATTCGACAAGAGTCACAGTGAAGACTCAAAATCGGATTTGCTGTGGACATGAGACCTTCAACTAAATGTAGGCCAAGGGGCAACTGTAGCCAGGCAGGTTCTATCCTTTCTGTCTCTTTCTTTAAAAAAAAATATTTTTTTATTTATGTACATGTGTGTATTGCCTGCGTGTATCTAAGTGCACTGGTGTTGTGCAATGCCCACAAGTTAGGAGAGGACATCAGATTCTCTGGAAATGGAGTTACAGACAACAGTTAGCAGCCATATGGGTGCCAGGATTCAAACCCTGATCTTCTGCAAGAACGGTCAGCACTCTTAACTGCTGAACCATCTCTCCAGCCCCATCTGTCTCTTTCTATACTGAGGATGGCAGGTCATTTGTGAGGTCCCCCACAGATCAGTTGTACTCTATCACAAGTGATAAACTGGAATGGAGGTAGGGTTTTTTTGTTTGTTTTGGTTTGGTTTGGGTTTTTGAATTGGCCACCATTTCTTTTTCTCCTATATGATGGCACTCTGTAGGTGCTGAAAGCAGCAATGTAATCAATAACATTCATTCCTGAACTGGTTTCAGAGATCCAGGCATTTCTTTGTCACACAGGACTGACTCTAGAAGGGAGAGGGCAGAGCTGAACTGGATAAATGATTCAGTAGTCAGAGAGTCAGAGAACATAATCAGAGCACCACCTAGGACAGTCATGCAAACGGCAAGAGGGAAGGACAAAGGGTAAACCACCCAATGTCACATCATTAAGGAAGGATGGTAATGGAGAGGGTTGGAATATATGATTCTTCTCCCTACTTCTTACCTTCCCTGGGTACCATACACGTGTGATTTTAAGAAAATGTCAATGAATATCTTCTCCTTTCTGAAAATGTACTACTGTGACATTACCACAGGGACCAGGGAAGGCAGAGGCCCAGCCCCTGCTCTGACTCACCCTTGTTTGATGCAGCACTGAACTGCAGGAAGAAACAACTTCAAGTAAAATCCAGAGAATGCTAGATCCACAGGGTACTTTGAGGGCATCATAGCATGTAGGCTCTAGAGTCAATAACTTTTCTGCATTGTTCTTTACTGGCTGGTGATTTCACCAATTTCGTTGTTTGTTTTTTTTTTTTAAGGCTATGGTGAGCAAAAAGTAAGGTTCCTAAATCTGATGGTCATTACAAATCTGTATTAGCCATCGACACTGGGCAAGCAACCTCATCTAGCTGGTTTTTCTCATCTATAAGTGGCAAATACTATTATCTCCCTCTTAGGAGGAGGTGCTTTCACAAGAAGAGATAGCAGTCTCTGACTTGTATAATTCTTGTAGCAATTCCATGAGGAATTTCCCATTCTGCTGTTGAAATAATTGCTGCTTTGAGTGGAAGTTGTTTCCTAAGGTCAACAAGGAACTTAAATGAGGCAAGTTATTAAATGGGTAGAGGGGACTGGGAGTAAAGCCCAGGTCTGTTTGACCTACAGCACGCTCATAACCACTGTGAAGGTCTATTCTGCTGGAGAACACCCACAAGACAGACCATTAGTCAGTAATAATAGTGCACACATGGAATTCATAAAAGCATGGGCAACTGTACTATGCTCAAGTTGGAAGAAGAAAATGGTTATCAAATTGCATCTATGGTATGAGCTTAACAATTACAGAAAGCACAAAGACTGGAAAGAAATACATTTAAAGTAGTGATCTCTGACCAGTAGGATTCTGAGTAAGTACACACTCGTGTGTGTGCATATGTGTGTGTGTTTCTTCCTTAATGTTTTTCTGTACTGTATTTATGAATACAGAAAAACTTTATTATGTAAAAGAGAGCTCCTTTAAGGGTCACCTCCCCCAGCATATAGGCCCTGAACTGAGTGGGTGTGTTCTTGGCTTGGGGTCTTTCTATTACTCTGTTCCTTTTGTCAGTCTGTTCAAGCTCTCCACTAACTCCTTCCTTTTTCTTCCTTCTTGGATGCAAACCAGACTGAGGACAGATGTGAGTTTACCTAAGGAAGTTCCTTGCCAATTAACCTTCCTTTACCTCAGGGTCAGAGTTATTTCTTATTCATGAAATGGCCAACACCCTGTGGCCTAATTCTTCCCATAATTCCCATCCCTCAATGGCATTCTCACTCCTTGCTGATTTGAAATATTCCCATTTTAAAATTATTTTACATTTTTATTTATTTTGTGCATACACCTGTGTGTACATGTGTGCCACATTATGTGTGTGGCAGTTAGAGGACAACTTTTTTGTCTTCTCCTACCATGTGGGTCCTAGAGATTAAACTCAGGTTGTCAGGCTTGGTGGCAAAAACCTTTACCTGCTGAGTCATCTCACCAGCACTCGTTTGACACCTCCTATAAGCAATTTCACATAAGCCTTACTGGAAGCTGTTACCCCAGAGACCTTGCCTCAAGCCACATGACTCAAATCTTAATTTTAAAAAAAAAGTCAATTACAAACCATCGTATTTTTCTGGGATTACTGGGCAAGGCTAAAAAAAAGAACAGCCAGGCATGGTGGCACACTCCTTTAATCCCAGCACTCAGGAGGCAGAGGCAGATGGATCTCTGTGAGATAGAGACCAGCCTGGTCTACTGGTCTACATAGCAAGTTCCAGGCCAACTGGAGCTAGGAGACTGTGTCTTGTCATGGAGCAAACAAATGAAATGTGACAAGCAGAGCAAGGGTGGGGAAGGGAAGGGAAGGGAAGGGAAGTGGCTAACAGACAAAGAGGAACAGCTGGATAGGAGGACTAAAATACCTCTTGCTGTCATACAGTACCAAAGGATAGCTATTTCCTAGGAAGGAAGGAAGGAAGGAAGGAAGGAAGGAAGGAAGGAAGGAGAAAGGAAAGGAAGGAAGGAAGGAAGGAAGGAAGGAAGGAAGGAAGGAAGGAAGGAAACACAGACTATGTGAGAAGTGGTCACAGCAAGTACATGTATGAGCATGACAAAGGACAAGGCATTGAGGTATGGGGTTGGGATGGGAACCATGGCTGCAGCGGACTTAATTAGGACACACTTTTAAAGGAAAGGGACAGTTTGTGAGCTGTCTGCTCTACATCTACCACACTGGATCAGCACTTGCCAGCAGAGAAGGTTTACAGATGCTCTTTTACTTATTCTCTTGACTGACTTCACCTTCTCTGGTTCCACCAAATTGAATAGCCATCATGCCTCCTCACATTCCCAAACAAGGCCTTTTTTGTTGTTTATTTTTGAGACAGGTTTCCCTGTGAGATCTCTGTGAGATCCACCAGCCTCTGCCTCCCGAGTGCTGGAATTAAAGGAGTGCACCACCATGCCTAGACAAGATGTCTTTTAAGGTAATTCTAAATAAAACATTAGGGCCAGGATCCATATAGCTCTAGACCACCTACTGAAAGATTAATGAGGTATTGCATTTGGGCCTATTTATTCAGTTATTTGAATTTTTATTTTAAATTATGTGTGTGGGGGGGGATACATGCATGTGAGTCCAGTGCCCTTGGAAGCCAGAAGAGGACATTGATTCCTTGGAGCTGGAATTATAGGTGTGAGCAACATGATGTCAGTGCTCAGAAATGAACTTCAGTCCTCTGCAAGAGCAGAACCTGCTCTTAATTGCTGAGCCCTCTCTCCAGCCCATATATTTTTATTTTATTTTGGAGTTTTTTTCTTTTTTTTCTTGTGTTTTTGAAACAGGGTCTCCCAGTAACCTCAGTTGGCCTGGAACTCATTGTGTAGATCAAGTTGGCACCTCAATCTCACAGAGTTCTGACTGCTTCTGCTTTCCCAGTGGAGTGCTGGGATTAAAGGAATGCGCCACCATTCCCAACATGGTTTTTTTTTGATGCAATAAAAAGAAAAGGGCAGTGAGAAATGAAAAGGTACAGCAACAAATATCTAGCGAAACACAGTAATAAAAATAAAACTATAGGATTTGATGATTCTCAAAGAAGAAAACAAGAACAGATCATTGAGTTGATTTTCCTCAAAATGTTCAACTGTGGCTGGATAAAGGAAATTGGGCTGAGAATCTGCCAGGTTAAGCAGAAGGTCAAGTATTATTTGTGGAGTTTAACAGCCACATGATACTAACTCCTGTAGGTGCATTAGCAGAGAGATCCTTCAACTCAGGCAATGATTTGAAGTCCTGAATTTTGAGAGGCAATTCTTTCATTTAGTCTCTTAGCCCTCCCTTCATGGTGAAAGCAAAATTGTCTACCTCTGAACTCAGGTGGCTTTAGTCTGCTTGATTTCCAGGTAAGAGCTAAAAATAAAGCAGAGGATGTCAGGGACACAAGTTATCAGAGAAGTCTCCTTCTTAACTAGATGAGGCCCAAAGGGGCTATAATAATGACTTGGAAACACAGAGGGCCTAGAACTCTCACCTCTCAAAGTCCAGAAAATGGGATTCAATTTTTTTAAAACCAACAAGAAAATAGGAATACCTTCCCCAACTCAAACATCAACTAGCCAACATTTTTCTGATTTACAGGAGTCAAATACCTTCTGTGGCCATGTGTGTCCAGCTCTGTCTCTATGTGGAATTGCTCACTCATATGAAGACACTAAATTGTCCTTCAAAGAACAGATTAGTTACATTTGATTTTTTAAATTTTTTTTAATTTTTTATGTGTATAAATGTTTTGCCTAC